ATCCAACTATTGGTATTTCTTCTCTTTGGTTTCTTTCGTGCTAATAATTAGTATGGATGAATAATCTTGAGAGTACTCCTTTAGGTGGTCTCTTGGTGCCATCATGTATGAAATGCTTGTGGGGTTCCCGCCATTTTATTCAGATGATCCGATGACAACTTGTAGGAAGGTGATTAAACCATTGCCTTTTGTATACCTTCCATTTGAATATTTGAGGCAGACTGGCAATCTCATGTCTTACATTAAATTTATGTCTTTTTGTATCTCTTTGGTGATTCTTATGTGGAAACTTACCTCTTTTGCCTTTTCATTTGTGTTTCCCCTTATGTAGATAGTAAATTGGAGAAATTACTTGAAATTCCCAGATGAGGTTAGACTATCACCAGAGGCCAAGGATCTTATTTGTAGGCTTTTATGCAATGTTGAACAAAGGCTTGGAACTAAAGGAGCAGATGAAATTAAGGTGTTGTGTGCTTTATTCAAGTTTGAGATTCAAAGTTCCCTTATCTAAGATTTTTGTGAGAAACCTTAATAAACTCTTTGATGGATTTCTTTTAGGGTCACCCTTGGTTCAGAGGTACCGAATGGGGAAAATTGTACCAAATGAAGGCTGCCTTTATTCCCCAAGTCAATGATGAGCTGGACACCCAAAATTTTGAAAAATTTGAAGAGGTAATATACTGATACTAAATTATTGATATATTGGTGCCACCGCCGATGTGTCATGATGTATATACTGAAATATTGGTGCCACAGATGATATGTATGCTCCTGATAAAGAAAATAATGTATACTCTTATTTGATTCCTTCTGGAACAGACTGACAAGCAAGTTCCAAAGTCGTCAAAGTCAGGTCCATGGAGAAAGGTATGGCATAGGCATTGAATTTCTCTCATCATGTCTCACGATTTGCGCATGTGACATGTGTTTCATTATATATATATGTTATGTGTTCTCTTGGGCATTCTTAACATGAGGTTGGGTTTCTTGTATCTGCTCCAGATGCTCTCATCCAAGGACATTAACTTTGTGGGATATACTTACAAGAACGTAGAAATCGTAAACGATGACCAAATACCAGGGATAGGTATTTCACTTTTACGTCCTTCCTCTGCCGAGGAAGAAGTAACGATACTAGAATGCCTTATGATTAACATGACTTGGCTGCTTGCATTTTAATCTGTTTTATTGTGCAGCTGAACTGAAGAAAAAGAGCAACAAGCCAAAGCGGCCGTCGATTAAATCCCTCTTTGGTAAATACTTTTCCCATTTCATTATTATGTGTTAGAAGCAAGTAGGCAGTATATAACAACAACTATAGAATCAAGATTATCGCACAATCTCCATGTCGATGATTCTCTCTTAACGAAACTGTGGAAAAACTTGAACAGAAGATGAGTCATCTGGTGGCACAACAACAACCCACCAAGGAAGCTTCTTGAATCTATTACCAACGCAGATGGAAGATCCAGAGAAAGAAGGTAGTAAATCGAGCTCATCCGGGTGAAGAAGATCCCGTGATTTGATGATGACACATTGCACAGCCTGAAACAGAGACTCAAGAGTTCTTTATATAACTTGTGTGTGTTGATTTGGTTTGAAAGCCTTTTGTTTTTCTCCCAAAAGACTTTGTTTTAAGTTTGAGTAGCTCTAATGGGGTTTCTTCAACAAAGTACAGTGTCTCCTATGGAAGCGAAGGCTTTCCTTTGAGGGAGAGAAAAAGATGGATTTGTTTAATTGTTTTTCAACATAGGGTTGTTTGATTGATATGTCACCAAAACAAACTTTTAAAAAAAGTAAATATTATTTTCGGAAATTGTTTGTTTTATTTATTTTCACAGGGAAAAATGAGAGATTCCGGATTTGTCAAACAACTTAATCTCAGACAACATACTTTCTTCTTAAAATACGTTGTAATTTGAGATTCAAATGGTAATCAATCAAATGTTTTTTTTTTTTAAGACTGTAT